ATCACTCAGCGAGTTTTGTTGAGAAATTTTGAAAATTGCAAACTTTTTTCTAAAATGGAAAATAGTCGTAAAACTGATTTAACTCAATCCAATTTTCATAGGTTTCGTCCCTCGGCATGTAGATTAAATATAAAAATATATATGGATACACGGATAAAAGGGACTTGACTAAATCAGTCATTCTGTGAATCGATCGATATATAATAAAAAAAGATGGCTCTGTTTTAACCCTTTCTGGATGTTATATATAATCGCGCAAAACTTCAAGTACTCGGCACGACAGTTGGTGTTGTTTACAAAAATTTGCATTTCATAAAAAAAAAAATTCGTTTCTTTTTTCTAGACGTGACCTTCAGACCACACTCGTATCGTATACTCAGAGTAATAAATTAAAGATTTCCTAAAAATATGGCCCAAAAGATAGTAATCATCTAGATCTTTGATTCAGGATATATTGAGTTTGCATGCAAAGCGGATTTTTTTTTCTTTTTTTTTGTACTAATCGAAGCAGAATTATTTGATGATTTTGGTCCGATGCGCATTTTCGCATCGTATTCTTTCTTGAAACGAAATATGTCAGTGCACGTTTCATTCATGTCAATTCATCAAAATATATCGATTGTTACGGTCTATGTGTTGCCCATTTAAACTGGGCATGGACGAACATTGAGCGATACGGATCGTTTTAAAAAATAATGATTTTCAATAAATTGACTCTTTGTGAGGTCGTTGTGAAAGAAGCATACATTCGATCAAACTTAATATATAGCCGTGTGAGCAGAAAATAAGCTGACGTTAATTAATTCATTCAGGAGTTTTCTTAAATTTTGTCTATCATTGCGAAAATGCTATCAACTGACTACGCACAAATTATAAAATGAATGCCCTATTTGACATTGAATTTGCAAAAAAGCTGCTATGCTCTGTGTGTGTGTGTGTACGATAAAGTTTAAATGACTTAACGCTCTCTTTACCCTGAATACGTCAATATTTAAGCATGACTTACGCGACATGCCAATGTATGTAATACAAAAACAAAAACAAAAAAAAAAAAACAAAAACAAAAAAAAAAAGAAAAAGAAAAAGTACATGTACATGCTCTTAGAAATACAATGCCAAGGCTTCATTAAATATTCATTAATGTGCACTAATTTAAGCGCATTAAGTGGTTCTCATTTTATTTTTCAAACTTCACATACTTCAGAAGACGAAGATGGAAACTAAAAGTGCACGAAGAAGTTTGATTGGTCTGATTAAAACGTCAAGTTGAACTTTGAACTAAAAATGAAGACTTTGTTAAAGAACACTATTTAATGAAAATTAAATTTCATGTCGAAAGTTATGCGCTGGACGCGTCGCACATCTACATACATATATAAGTTGAAATTGTGCAAAAGAGAGATTTGTTTTTTTTTTTTTTTTTTTTTTTTTTTTTTTTTTTTTTTT